TCCTATTGGAGCTCTGGGTGGGCGGGGGGAATTGAGATGTAACTAACCCAGTTATTGAAGAATTCTGTAGTTTCTGTGCAAATTAATGTATTTCTAGTTGTTACCATTTCTGAGACAAAAGACACAAACTTTCAGAAATATTTAAAACATGTGAAGGATGGTAGTAAATCAAGTGAGAACTGAAAACAAGTTCTTATCTAGTACATCTCCTCACTAGTTTTTAAATATATACAGTAAAGCATCCTTTTTAAATCCATGGGAAAAAACTCCCATATTTAATGCAATATTTCATAATCTTATACAGTGGTGCCCCGTTAGTACATCTCCTCACTAGTTTTTAAATATATACAGTAAAGCATCCTTTTTAAATCCATGGGAAAAAACTCCCATATTTAATGCAATATTTCATAATCTTATATTTTGTAGTATAAACTGTCACCATCAGTTTTTACAGATGTAGACACAACCATGTTGTGTAAGTTTGTGAGTATCTGCAACTTCTAGCTTTCTAAATCCTAAAACTGATTTTGTGGGCATGCGTGTGTTAAATATTTCTCTTTACAAAATATCTTGCAAGGCAGAATAGTAAAGTTAATCAACTCAGCCATGAAATAGCCTGTGAAGCACAGCCATGACTGTATTTGAATATGAAGTGAAACTCTGACAATATGCCTGCTGTTTTTATAGCTGATTCAACAGGAAATCATGATTAATCTCTGTGGCAGAATTCTTTCCCCACAGAATTGGTAAGCTACCACACAAAGCTATCAGCTTTGAAAGAATACTGTGTAAAAAATGGCAGGAAAGCTGGAGAAAAAGTAGTGCAATTGTACTGTATATCCCTTGGATAGGCTAATGGCAACGGGCAGTATTGTACCTCTAAACCACTTTGGCCTTGATTGTTCCACAGTAACAGATTTCAGTGGAGGTGGGTGGGATAAGATGCTTACAGTATGTTTTTAGAGAAGAGGGAAGAAAGGAGGCAATGAATTAGCAAAGTCAAAATCCAAGTTCCACATCAAGGTAATACAGTGGTGCCTCGCATTGCGACATTAATTCGTTCCACAAAAATCGCTGTTGAACGAAAACGTCGCTATGCGATATTAAAAGGCCCATAGAAACGCATTAAAACCTGATTAATGCGTTCCTAGGGGCTTAAAACTCACCGTCCAGCGAAGATCCTCCATAGCGCGGCCATTTTCGCTGCCCGTGCAGCGAGGAATCCATCCCAGAAAACAGCAGGTGGCCATTTTCTTTACCCGGCAGCCATTTTGAAACCGCCAATCAGCTGTGCGAAAATAGTTGCTTTGCGATGATCGGTTCCCGAAGCAGGGAACTGATCATTGCAAAGCGAAATTCCCCCATAGGGAACATCAAAAAGCGATCACTTTTGCGATCGCAAAAAGTTTGTCGCAAAGCGATTTCGTCGCTAAACGGAGCACTCGCTAACCGAGGCACCACTGTATTTTTATTAGAATAATTTTTGGGAAGTTAATCTCTGAGAAGTTAGTCTGTGCCGTCTCAAATAGAGTCAGATAATAGATAGTATGCTTCATGTTGAATGTAATGGTAGACTTTGCTGCATTAATTTTCTATTTTATGATATATAATGTGGTATGTAAAACATTTTGGTTTTGTGCTTGGCATTGTTTGATGGTAGTAGTTTCAAATTTTGTTTGCTGATCTAAATAAGAAAACATTGTAGTTTTCTACAAACTACAGATAATGTATAGCAGTCTCATAGTTAATAATTATCTGTCATCAAGTTGATTCTGACTTAACAGTACCTTATCACTGTTTTCTAGTTGTAAATAACTAATAATAGTTTTTCTATTCTTTCTGCTGGTGGCATCTGGGACTGTACAGGTTGTTCAAGGCTGCACAGATGGCAGTACACATGATCCTATCAGCTACACGTACTCCAAATGATCTTGGCTGGTCCCTCTCCCAGGAAGCACAATGGGATTTGAACTCCTGGCACTTGAGGGTACCAGCTCTGTATTAGTCTGCAAATGGGCAGACATTACAGCCAAATGTTTTGATAAAGGTAGGGCAGATTACCAGTGGAGCTATTTCATACTCCATTGTAAAAGTCTAAAATTGCTATCTCACTGGAAAAGAGAAATCTGGGTTTTAAAAATTGTGTTTAGTTTCTTCTCAATACTTTAGTCACCTTTTTGTTGAAAATATTGCCTAAATTGTGAATGCATTGTCTGTTTCAGAACCTTGAAAGAAGAATATAAAGGTTGTTGTGGGTTTTTCGGGCACTGTCCTCTGAAGATGCCGGCCACAGAGACTGGCGAAACCTTAGGAAGAACAAACTTCAGAACATGGCCAAAGAGCTCGAAAAACCCACAACAACCAGAATATAAAGGCTTTGATCGTTCATCTAACATTGCTGGCACAAAAAGCAAACTGTACCAGTTTTAGTTTTGGTATTCTTAATTCACAACATGACTTCTAAATTTAGGGGAAGGAAGAACTTCAATACTATTCCCAATGATGTTCATACTTTTTTCTGTGGGTGACGTTGTTTAAACTTTGAAGCATTGCTTACTGTACTCACTCCTCGTGTATATAATTGCATTGCTGGTTCTCAAACTGAAACCAGATCTCAGTGATTTGCACAAATGATGCTTGCAAATTTTATTTTCATAGAGAGAGAGAGCTGTAAGTGCTTGTTATGGTGTTCATGCAAGTTGATGACTCATATAAGCAGGTGTACACTAGCCTATTTTTATTTTATTGTTGAAAATCTACTTATTACTGGATTTTTTAAAAGAAAAATATTTTCGTTGAAGATAAATGAAAAGGCAATGTGTGTATGTGTATATACGTATACCTGGAAAAGATGAGTGAAGGAGAATACTCCTCTGCTGTACATAAATATGACACAATGCGTTTTTATTTCTTGTTTATGCATACTCATATCTCTTGGAATCTTGCCTAAAACTACTGTTTCTGGAAAAAATGCCAATCCTGAAAGTACACTGTTTTTAGAAAGTGCTTCAGAAGTGCTTAATGTAGAATACACTTGATACACAAGCGCCAATGCTGATGAAATTCCTTTACTACTTCTAGTAGTTCTGTTTATGTATAAAAGCCGTAAGTTTAAAAGGAGACATTCTAAGGTTTATGCCCAATATATTCAACATCAGATAACAAATAAATAAATTCAGCTGTGAAAGCAAACCTTTCACGTAGTATGACTTAAGTAGAGGACAATAAGATGAATTGCTGTGTGACTTGTTAATTTCTGGATTTTCCCCTTCAGCCTAGACATCTCAATTAATAAAACTGTGAGGCTACTGGTACATAATTGTGTTGTATCTTACTTGTGACAGTTTAAGCTAAGTTCAAACATGATGACTGTATCAACATTGGAGTTCAAAACACCAATTAATGAGACAAACCCCTAACCCCATATTCATATTCAAAGCTGAAAAAAGAAATTGAATGAAGCCAAGAAGCGTAAGTGTAAAGGGACTCATGAAAAGAGACTTTCCACTGTGAAAAGATAGGAATATGTGGAGTCTTGGTGATTTAACTTCTCCCCACTTCAGCACTTGCCTTCCACAGGTCATTCTGGAGACTAGGATTACACTTGCATAGCGTATGATAAGGTATGGAGTATCACAATGGGATGGAACAATGCAGGCCATTCGAAAAAGTATAGTTTCTTGGCAGCTTCACTCTCTTCATCCAGCTCAGTGTTACTTGCTTGGCAGACAGAAATTCTTATGATTATTTATAATTTAAAAGGCCCAAACAAACACAAACTCACTGATTTAGCAGTAAAAATAATTCCAGACAAATGCATTGTTGAATGAATGAGATAGCATTTAATCTCTAAACATTTTACAATACTGTACTTCAGTCTCATCTTTCAGTGTAACTGTGTCAACTCTGTAGAAAGATGGGCAAAGATGAAAATGTTTGCTTGAAAGATATGTATCTAAGAACCTTTGCAGTCTTACAGCATACTATGCGCTTATCATGAATCAAGAAAGTATGTCTTTCGCCTGGAAATCTGAAATTCATCATTGATTCATTATTTGTGATCTTCTTTGGCATGGTTTTGTGGCACTCTGGGGGTACTGAAAATGTGATTGTCATTTGTTTTATCATACATTAATTAAGATTAATTCACAGGTTTTTAATTTTTGGTACGCTAAACTCATGTAAATAAAACAATAAAATAATAATAAAGAAAATATCTATATATGTGCATCTCTGAAGGTCTTCCTGTGTATTTAAAGATTCTGTATGAGACTGGATTAGTGTATCTCTTAATTAGTTAAAATATGGTTTAATTAGCATGATAGGTTTATACTGTTGTTTTTTGTTACCGTTATCTTAGTGATTTGGATTATGTACTAGTTATGTGGAATGAGGGGTAACAGTTGGGTAGGAGCCATAGCTAGTGATGAACCATGCAGAAAAATTGCAGGTTTGGTTCCTAGTATCTTCAGTAGGACTGGGAAAAACCCTGCTTGCAACCCTGGAGAGCCACTGCCAGTTAGTTTACATATTACTGGGCTAGCTGTCTTAGAAAGCTGTTTCTCTATCGTAACACAGGGTATAAATGGTTTAATACAACTTAGTGAATCTTCAGCAGCACTTCCAATTAAAGTACTTACAACTTCTAATGTGAAGTTACTTAGATTAGACATACTGAGTTAGATGGACTAAAGATGTGGCTCTGTAGAAGCCACATGTATGTGTGCTTTTGTGAACTGTCAGAGAAAATGGAGTTCATGAAACAGATTGATTAATGTGACTTGCACTTTGTCAGGGAAATGGGTACTTTTAATACTGTAATTTCACTGAAACTGAGGCAGGTGTGGATTTGATCAGCCTCTTGAAGAGCCCCATGTTGGATAGAAGTACAAGAATTGTTAAATGGATCAATATGAGTTGCACTATCTTGTAATTTATTATGTTCATCTTCGTGTTTTTGTTCTTATTGGGCTAATAAACATTATTTTTCCTTTTTACAGCCCCATGACTTTGATGAATGCAGGTTTGATATTAGCGTAAATGACAGTGTGTGGTACCTACGAGCTCAGGATCCAGATCACAGACAACAATGGGTAGATGCAATTGAACAGCACAAGGTATGACTCATCTTCCCTGGTAATTAATAACGATTCGCAATTGAACAGAAACCTCTGAGGATTTGTTAACAATGTGAATAACGATCTCTGCAAATGAAAGCAAATGATTTTGTTCTGAAGTGTTAGAAATAGTATTAAGTATTGTAGCCTATGAAAAAGGAATGAATTAAAAGAAATTAAGACTTAGCACTTGAGAATCCCTTTAGAAATTCTAAGTCTGAGGGTTTCCGGAAGATTGGTTGTGAGAATGCAAAAAACAAGCAACAGCCATTATCATTGACAACTGCAGCCTAAGCCATCTAAAGCAAAATGAACCCTGGTAGTGAAGTTCAGAATTAGGTTGTTACTGGAGGTGGGGTTTTTGTGTTCATGATTGTGGTGTTTGATATAGTTTATAGCTGGCATATAAATGAAAAAAGATCAATCCATTTCTTAGTTCCAAGGAAGAGGGATTGCCTGGTATAGACTAAGTTCTGTGGCACTGCAAAACATTAGAAGTATTGTAGGGCTATTATGTTCCATAAAGCAGTGGTCCCCAACCTTGGGCCTCCAGATGTTCTTGTACCACAACTCCGGGAAGCCTTCACCACCACCTCTGCTGGCCAGGATTTCTGGGAGTTGAAGTCCAAGAACATCTGGAGGCCTAAGGTTGGGGACCCCTGCCATAAAGGATGCCTCTTGGGAAATTACAATACCCCTTAGTCCAGAAAAAACAAAACAAAAGAAGGGAATGGGAGAGGGAAATATGGTTTTATGGTGGTACAGTGGTGCCTCGCTTTACAATTGCCCCGCATTATGATGAAACCGCTTAACGAAGATCTTTTTGCAATTGCAAAATGGTGGCCTGAACGGGGGAATTTCGCTTTGCGATGATCGGTTCCCTGCTTCAGTAACCGATTCTTCGCAAAATGACGTTTTTCGAACAGCTAATCGGCGGGTTCAGAATGGCCACCAGGTGATTAAAATGGCTCCCTACTGTGTTTAGGGATGGGTTCCTCGCTATACAGGCAGCGAAAACGGCTGCCGTATCGAGGATCTTCGCTGGACGTTGAGTTTTTACCCCATTGGAACACATTGAAGGGGTTTCAATGCGTTTCAATTGGGTTTTTATTTTTGCTTTACGATGTTTTCGCTTAACTGTGATTTTCCTGGAACAGATTATCGTCGTTAAGCGAGGCACCGCTGTACTTTATCTGAGGATTGGGAATAAAAACACAACCAACAGTTTCTGGGGGTAGAGTTTGAAACCTGGCACATACATCTGCCAAGATTTTTGGGACTATTATAATTTTTTTGTTTGCACTATCCGTAATATATTGATGCACAACCTGACGAAGACTGGTTTAGGTTGAAAGCTATCTTTTAGTGGTCCAATAAGGGTATCATCTGCTTTTGTATAATACTGTACCCCTGATACTTTGCAGTGTCACAAAGTTTAGCCCTTCCCAACCAGTCACATTGTTCCAGAACTTAGAAAGGGAAGGAACGTTTCTCATGTATGCCACAACTGTAAGATATATGAAACACTGTAAAATATATCAGAGTGAAGTAAAGACCCCATAATTCTAGTTGTGGCAAATTCAGCTGTCTTCTTGGTGTTATAGTTTTGTTTTAGTTTTTTTAATCACTAGTTATTACTGTTGATAATACTAGAGTAAAACAACCTGGTCTTGCAGTGCTCATAAACTGGATAACAGCTGAAAACAGTTCTTGAGTCAGTCTTGAAGATAATAGCTGGATATATTGTGTAAAGGATTTTTAAACAAAAATTGAACTATAATTTCTGGGTTTTGTTTTCCTCTCCTTTTTGTGGATGAGGGTATAGAAATGTTTGTTTTATGATTGGCTTACAGTAGGAATGGGCAACTGCAGATACCCATACATAGTTAGACTGCTACTAGCAGCAACATACGCAATATACCCAGGGTGAGGGTTTATGGCAGTTGCCAAGGTTCCACGTGTGCCTCTCCCCCTCCGTGCAGGGCTCCTCCTCCTCCGTGCACCCACAGCTATCGTTTTCAGCCATTTTGGTTTTAGTCGTAATGGAACCCCATGGGGGGATGGTGTGCATGTGAGGGGCAGAGCCCCACCCAATGGGGCTGAAAATTAGAAGGAATCTTGCCAGTTGCAATCCAACCTTCCGTTGCCTGTTCTCCTTCACGTCCTCTGTGAATACACAACACTACTGGGTTATTCTGCGGCTGAGCAGGAAAAGTGGCTTCTATAGCTTTAAGAACTCTGTGCCAGGGGACCTCCCACAGAGATTACATCACCACCCCGGCACAGAGCACGCCAGTTCCGTTTCCTGCCGCCACTGTGTGCAGCACGGTTGGAGCTTCTCCTTCGTGAATTCACACGACCGACCCACTTCCCTGCTGTACGTCCCGACTCTCCAGGGTTGGCACACACAGCGGTGTCAGTTCTTCGGGGCGTGCTCATGCACATGCATGGGGGAGTGGGGCATGCTCGCAGTTGGATGGGGTGCGCTCGCAGGGGGTGCTCATGCGCCTATCGGGGAGTGTGTGCCGGGGGGGCAGTAGATCTGTCTCCACGGCCCAGTCCTGCCAGGGCCACGGCCCTCTACCATGGGTGCCAGTGTTGAAATGTGGGTGACAGTGTTGAAATGTCTTTATTCTGTCTCCTTTCGAATGGCATGAGAAGAGAAGAGAAATAAATCTGCAATTTCCAAGTAGTATTAGAGCCCAACACATTCTGGAAGACATATTTTCCTGAGGCCTAGATCGAGAATTAAAGCTTGTATATTCAGATTGCCCCTAAAAACAGAAAGGTAATTTTCCAAAACACATTGGGATCTAATAAAATCTGGCACTTCTATGTAATGTAGATGCTGAGTATGCTTAAAGTAGCAGTTTGGATCTTAGTCTAGTCTTTTAAAGCCAAACAGTACTGTGAATAGCCAAAAGCTTTTGCAACTAGTGCATATACAGAAAATGTACTGCTTGTTACTCTGGGGAATCCTTATAATTAATAATATCCTAACTGTTAGAAATGTATTTTGCATTTGGCGCATGCCACAATGGTTGGAATCTTAGCTTTATCGAAGTTGCTGATCTGGTGAGATACTCTCTGGAGCTGAATCAGATGTTGTGATGATCGCCCACATCACTCATGCCATTCATATTCATGAGCTGATTTGCATGAATCTATGAGAGGACTGGGGAGGTGGAGTCAGCAGCTACATGAGGTTTGGCAGGAGAAGGAGGAGTCAGATAAGGGCTGGTTAGTCAGAGAGAGAGGGAAAAATACTGAGAGATAGAGCTGATTAGAAAAATAGGTAGAAAAGGTGGTAATGATATAGCAAAAGAAAAGTATGTACTGAGAGGACTGTTGATGGTTTTGATATAGCAAAAGGTTATTATTCAATCTGCTTCACTTCAATAAATAAGTTCTGTTTCTGTTCACAAGTCAAGTGTTCAGACAAACGTCATTTATATTGTGGATTGAGGTAATCTACTGGTAGCAGTGAGAGGAAAATGTGATATGAGCCTTTGTGAGGGAAAGACAAGCAGGGGCCACAAGGGCAAATACTACAGATGTCTTTTGAGAATTTTGGTGTTGATGGCAGTGTATACTCTGCTCTTGTTTTAAGTACGCATCAGCATCTAAAGCTGTTCTTGAAAAAGCTGGATTCTTGTTACACTGCATTTTGTTTTCTTTAGTGCCTTGGCTGCTTTTCTTCCAAATGTTCCCAAAGCATTAGATAGTTCTATTGATCTATAACATTCCCAGTGTGGTGCAGTGGACAGAGTGACGGACTAGGTCTCTGGTGAACAGAGTTCAAATCCCCACATGGCCATGGAAACTCACTGGGGGAGTGGAACTGGTAAAAACACTCCTTAAATATCTCACTTACCTTAAAAGCCCTATTAGGATCATTATATGTCAGTTTCGACTTGATGGGACAGAACAGACACACACAACAAGAATCTCAAATGAATCTGTACCCATTGGTTAAAACATTTGCACTGCTTTTTTCTGCTTTCTTACAAGCTGTAAAGGCATAAAAGTCCAGATCCCTGACACTTCAGTGTTTGAGATTTTGATAAGCAGTAGAAATTTCAAAGTAAAGACAAAGAGAGCTATTGTATTGAGCAGTGCAAAGAAATGGAGAACAACAAAAGGGGAAAAACAAGATATCTCTTCCAGAAGATACATGTGATCAAAGGAAAATTTAGGCCTAGATTAAGAATGCTGAGTGAAGAACATGAAATCACACTGCCTGACAAGGAGAAAATAAAGAGAACGTGGAAACAGTATTCTGAAGACTTATAAAGAAAAGATAAAAGGATGACAGATTCCTTTGAAGAGGATTCCTATGATGAAGAACCTGTAGTTTTAGAAAGTGAAGTGAAAGCTGCTCTGAAAGCACTGGGGCAAAAGAAATAACCAGGAGTAAATTGGACAGCAATAGAACTATTTCAAACCACAGAGGCTGAATCTGTCAAAATCATAACAAGAATATGCCAACAAATATGGATGGGTGGGAAGGCCCACATAGTGGAAACGTTCCATATACATTTTAGTAGCCAAAAAAGGAGATGCCACAGAGTGAAGAAGAACTTTGTGGATACCCTGGACTGACAGAAAGACAAACAAGTGGGTCATAGATCATATCAAGCCTGAACTATCTCTGGAGGCAAAAACATTGAAAGTAAGGTTGATCTGGTTTGGGCACATCATGGGAATGTATTGTGATTCTAAAGGTTTTAGTTTGTAGAAACCTGAAACATTAATAGATTTGCAGTCACTGGAAAAGACAATTCTGGGAAAGGTGGAAGGCAGTGGAAAAAGAGGAAGACCATATACGAAATGGACTGTCTCCCTAATGGAAAAGAGTGTGCTGCTTATATACTGCCCCACAGCACTTACAGAACTCTTTGTGTGATTTACAAATTAATTATGCAGGCTACACAGCAACCCAACTGGATGGGGAAACCTGCTAAATGAAGCTGCAGGTTTAAGTTTACAAGAATTGAGCA